GACTTGGCTGTACAAACATGAAAAAAATGTATCTAAAGATATTGACGGTCTTGATCTACTCAATGAAATTACATCATACAAAATTCTCATTTTTCCATACTCTAATAAAATTTTAAACAAAGAAAAATCCAGTCCTTGTTCCCAAATTTATTTATAGCCTACCAATTTCGGTGGCTTCTGGCGAGAGGAGTTTCTCGATCTTGAATCTTCTAAAAAATTATTTAAGAACATGAATGTGCCAAGAAAGGCTGTCAAATTTGATAATTATTTAAATTGAAAATAAAATCTGTGAAGCCATCACAATGAAATGATCGATGAGCTTGCAGCTGTGTTTCGTGTGTGTGTTTTGATCAATCTATTATTGGTTACGCACTCATAGTATCTTTTTTGTGTAATGTTCCAAAATCTCTGTTAATTTGCGCATTTCTACTGTGGTGTTAACGTCCTACTGTATTGCAGTGACCTTTTTTATGTAACATTAAAAAAATAAATCCTTCAAACTGGGTCGTTTTATTTTTCTTTTTTATATTAATTATATGGATGACATATAACATTGTAAGAATATGTTATGATATAGGACATCTTAAATTCAAAACACAGGGGTGCACCAAAAATCCTGCAAGCAGGCGCTCAGCACCCTAGGACCGGCCCTGTTGATGTGCACTAGTTCTGTAGCTGTACGTCTTTCCTAAACGTCATGACGCTTCAGCTGTCAATGTTTGGCTTTGATGTGATCTGAATGTAACATCTGTGTTGATGATAATTCCATTGGTTTCTTGTCTCAAATACACTTATTCGTATGGAAAGCAAGAAATTAGCTGGGCATCCACATTTTCTTATTCATCTTTGAAATTGCATATACAAATTTGCTGATTTTTTAAAATGAGAGAGATAAGAAAAGAAAATCTATTTTTGGTGAAATACGAGGAGGTGCCCAAAAATAACCGGAATAGCATTGCAGTGGACGGAGCTTGTGTAGTAGACATTTCTGCCCCTAGAGGCGTACAGTGCCACCTGATTTGTCGATCTGGCTTGTTTCATTCCTCTATAGACATTATTTTTGCTAGAGCTGTCTCGTGCTTGTTTTGTTTTTTACGATGGCAAGCTTCAGTGAGCAAGCATCTATAAAATGTTGCTTTCTAATGAATAAAAATGCCGCAGAAACTGCTTTAATGTTGAAAATAGCTTACAAAGATAGTGCTATGGGAAAAACTCGGGTGTACGAGTGGTTTGCTCGATTTAAAAATGGCGACATGTCGATTGATAACAAGCCTCGCTCTGGACGTCCATCAACAGCCCCAATCGACGAAAATGTTGAAAAAATTCGATAGCTTGTGATATTTGGAGGTTTTAAGGCGATGGCGAAATAGTGTTCCGCATTTGTTTCATGCAAAAAACCTATAAAACGTCAAAAAACCTATAAGATGTCATCTTGCAAACTAGGTAGTTTTTAGGGCGCTAACAGTCATTCCACGTTTGCTCACTAGAATCGTTGTGAACGTCCATCTATGGAGGGATCACTCAACTAAACTAAATGCATTACTGGTTGCATATGTTTTATGAGGCCAAATGGTTCTTGTCTGTAGTTTTTATCTCTGAGAAGAAAGTTGGTTGAATAGCAAGATAGCATCTGGATGATTATGTGTATTGGTCTGCATGTATATAAAATCAGTGATATTTACTGTGTGATAAAATCATTACTGAATATGCTGCCAATGAAGTATATCTATTGGCTGTGCCCGACGGGCTAGTTTTATGTTGTGCTTTCTGAAGAGAGGTTATGTTCAAAGTTATGAATTACAAAAAACTGAGGAGAATTACGGGAAATCATCACCACGCCCGCGTTGTGTGTAATTACTGTTAGCATGTATATGACTTGTAATTCGACAGTGTACGGTGAATATAATTATTTCTTATCACTCTCATTTTTGAAATTGAGCAAATTTGTATATGTAATTTCCAGAATAGATAAAAAAAGTGGATCCGCAACCAGCTTTGAATCTCAATTAAGTGTATTTGAGACAAGACCCCAATATAATTATCATCAACACACATACAACTTACAGCTTAGACCTCCAGTAATGCCATCTCAGAAGTAGATTTTTACATCACATCAGAGCCAAAGATTGAGAACAAGCCTCATGACGTTCAGGCAACACGTACAACTAAGTGCTAAGTTAATATCTTGTAGAAAAACCTACATAATGTCAAAAAAAGCAGCATGATGTCAAAAAAATCAGCATAATGTCACTTTTCAAGTTATGTGATACCCGTGCCGATTTGTCAGGAGATTGGTTCTTCCACCACGATAATGCACCTGCGCACGCAGCCATCTCCGTTCGACAGTTTCTGGCTGGAAAGACTGGCTTCTGATCAAGCTGTTGTTAAAGATTTGCTTGGGGCTGTCGATGGTTATTTTACTAATCTGGGCGTTAAGGTTCTGCGCATTGGGAAATTTAGACAAGGCTCGACCAGGCCAGTAAAGGCAATCTTTCACTCAGAGGAGATGGTTCATACTATAATCAAGAAGACTAATACCCTAAAAAACAATGAAAAATATAAAAATCGGTTACTTTTGATAAAACTCCAAAACAGATGGAGCTCTATCGCTACTTAAAGGGCAAACTTAATGAAAGGATCGAGCAAGGTGAAAGTAACCTCAGAATTAAATATTTCAATGGGGTTCCGAAGATTGTTACTTTAAACGCATAACTGAACCCAATAACAGACCAAATTGTTAAGAGAGACTTAATCTAAGGTGCTCCTACCAGAACGTTCGTGGTCTCAATTCTAAGACGGTGTCATTCTTCAATGCAGTCAGTGACTACGAATTTGATTTAATTTGCTTGACTGAGACGTGGCTGTCTGTGAATGTGAGTGATAGTGAATTATTTCCGGCTGAATACTGTGTGTTCAGATGTGATCGTGACTTTATTCGATCTGTTCTAGTTTCCGGCGGAGGAATCCTGATAGTCATAAAACGCGATTTCCATGCAATTACAATTGACGCTAGTCCTTTGAGTCAAAACTTTCCGTCGATTGATACTGTATGTATTAGACTTATTATTAACCATGAGCATTTTGTTATCTTTTCTATTTATATTACGCCTTCAATTAATTTGGACATGTTTGGTCAGTACCTTGAAGCTTTGGAAGTATTTAACAGTGCATTCAGTAATTGTAAAATAATTGTTGCTGGTGACTTTAATGTCTCATCATTGAACAGTGACGTTAACGATCAGAAATCTCAATTAATGAGCAACTTTATTTCGTTTTTAGATTTAACTAATTTTAATAATATTCCAAATATAAATGGTCGAATACTGGATTTAATTTTAGGAAATATCGAATTAGAAGTCCTCAGAGATAATACACCTTCTGTTAAAGAGGACGTTCATCATCCTGCACTGATCATGGAATTCATTACATCCGGATCTCCAACGAAATTCCCATTTGCTAATTCTCTACGGTTTTACCGCAAAGCTGACTTTCCTGAAATATACACAGCCTAGCAAGATGTTAATTGGACGGAGGTGATCAGTGCAGTTAATGTTGATGTCGCTTGTACCGCCTTGTATTCAGTTATCAATAACATCTTTGAGGTCCATGTCCCTAAATGTAAAAATAAAATGTTTCCGTATCCCCCCTGGTTCACACGTGAAATTATACTTAATATCAAGAAGAAGCAAGAAGGAACTGGAAACGTGACGGTACTAAGTTTTCTTATGATCAGTTCAGAAATTTTAGGAAGCTCATTAAGAACCAGATCAGTGTTGTATACTCCGCTTACGTCCAATCCCCCCAAGGATGACGCTTAACGGCAATGTCTGCGATACGCCTCAGGATATAGTGGACAGATTTGCTACCTTCATTTCAACAGTTTTTATCCCGTCTGGTCTACTAGGGTCATCTCCTCCAACAAATAATTCTACCAATATCATTTCTTTAAAAAATATAAGTGAAGAAAACGTAATTAGGGCTTCGAAAAGATTAAAGAACAAAATGACGTCTGGATGTGATGATATTCCAAGTTTTTTCGTTAAAGATTGCATTCATATGCTAGCGAAATCGCTGGCTTCCATATTCAACCTAATTCTAAAATCAGAGACATATCCAAATATCTGGAAGACCTCTAAAATATGTCCTATTCACAAAAGTGAAGATACCTCTGATATTTCCAACTATCGCCAAATAGCAATCCTGTGCAAAGTTGTTTGAGATCATCGCTTATGAAACGGTTTACTGCTCGGTCAGGGGTGCAGTCTCTATTAATCAGCATGGGTTTATGAGAGGCAGATCTACGGTCACCAACTTGGCTCTGGTTACTCAGTACATTTCTGAAGTACTGGACGGTCAGGGACAAGTTGATGTCAGCTACACAGATATTCAGAAGGCGTTTGATCAAGTTGATCATTATGCACTTCTGGATAAGCTTAAAACAGTGGGTATGTCTGATGCAATGCTGTCGCTCATGAATTCATATTTGAGGGATAGAAGGTTATTTATCGAATATGGTGGTCATAGGTCGAGTTACTATCGGGCCACGTCCGGGGTACCTCAAGGGTCAAATCTAGGTCCATTATTAAAAATGAAACACAAAATTTAGTTCAGACCAAGTAGACATTTATACAGTACAATGTAACAGTCCCTATATCCATCTCACCTCAAATATTTATGTAAAACAATTTCTTTTCTTTCTCTTCTCGCTCCTACTTAATTTCTTTCTCACTCTCCCTTCGCTACAACTTGCCCGGTTTCTGGACTACCAGACCTGACAGCCGCTTGCATGACAGTGACTATGACCTCAAGGCTAATGTCCGACGAGTAGTAGTAATATTATATTATTTTTGGAAACTACCTTAAGAAGAAGTTCGATGCAGAAAATCTAATAAAATTCTTGTTGATATCATAAGTTATTAGGTATTGAACCTATTAGAATAAATTCGTAAAGGAAAAACATACCTGAGATGGAAATTTCAAGCGATGCTTTTCTATTTCAGGATCCCATGGAATAAGGTGTCAAGTATTTGAGCTTTTAGGCTTTCCAACTCAGTCCTGTTATTTGTGCTTCTTATCATCGACATCACGAGATTGTCGACGCCGTATTTGCACAACGATTGCTGCAAATGGACGACTTTATTCCACGGGAGCCACTAAGCACATTATTGCTATAAAGGAAACAAGTTGGGTGAGGTCACACCAGAGGTAGTATACTTAGCGGCAAGATATAAGCTAGTAGATGCTAGAGTAATATCTCGGCAATCAAAGACATGTTTCACCTATGCGTGCTAAGAGTAGCGCTAACTAACTTGTGAGTTTTGTTGAGTGGCGATACGGCATACGTGCAAGGAAAAAATTAGATTGTAATTATGGAGCGTTATTAGGTCATTGTACGAAGTACTGATGAAAGCTGCTTTCAAGCTGACTTAACTGTAGAGTATGCCTAACGTTGTGACAAATATATAGGAGTTTAGAAAAAAATTAAGGCTCAATAAATCTCCAAAATAAGCACTGTCGACATTTATCCGGCACGAGCAAATAGGAAGCATTGAAAAAATTGCAACTGACAATTTTGAGTGCCACTCCACAACAACATGGGTCATTTTTACAGTAACTTGTTTCACTGTCTAGATTATAGAATAGTTCCGTAGACTCTTGAAATCCCACCTCAGCGCAAAACGTGTTATCCTGCCACCAAGATTGTGTCTTGCGTAGCGGACTTTGTTTGAAAAATGGTGGATGCACTTAGCTGTAGTAAACAGTGCAAATTTGTCTGAAGGCGTGAGTTCAAGGTGTACGAGAGAGAAGAGCGAGGAGTGTGTATCATGTTAGAAAGAGATAGAAGCCGGCTGAACAGCGAAGGTCATCAACACATTGCAACGGTGACACAGAAGGTCATGCAATCTGCCGCGTTCCCAATACGATACACCAGAAAATATTCTTTTTAGAATCTCTGATTTTCACCGATAGTTATATTGGGTTGTCGGAAAAGTCATGACGCTTTTTTTTGTTTATTTTAAGGCCATTTTATTCATATACAGCACAAACTTCAATCAATAATGTATTGCCCATTTTGATCGATGACCTTTCGCCATCTTTCAGGCAGCTTCATAATTCCTCGCTCGTAGAAGGATTTGTCTTTACCGGCAAAAAATTGAACAAGGTGCTGATGTACAGCTTCATCTGAAGTAAAGCGTATTTCTCGCAAGGAATTTTGAAGCGACCGAAACAAATGAAAATCAGATGGGGCAATATCAGGCGAGTATGCTGGATGTGGTAACACATCCCATCCTAACTCCAATAACTTTTGACGAGTGAGCAAATTTGTGTGCAGCCTCGCGTTGTCATGGTGGAACACAACTCCTTTGCGATTAATGAGCTCCGGACGTTTTTGCATGATGGATTGTTGCAAACTGTCCAATTGCCGACAATACACAGTTGTATCGATGGTTTGGTTCTTTGGCAGGAGTTCGAAAAACACGATCCCTTTAAAATCCCACCAAACAGAGAGCATCACCTTTTCCTGATGACTCTCTGCTTTCGCGGTCGTGTTACGCGTATCTACACTTCGGGACCAAGACCGTTTGCGAACCACATTGTTGTTGTAAACAATCCACTTTTCATCTCCCGTTATCAAGCGCTTTAAGAAAGGATCGTTTTCCTCACGTTTAAGGAGCATATCGCAGATGTCTACACGCGCCGTCAAATGAACCTCTCTCAGTTCGTGTGGTACCCAACGATCGAGTTTGCTTACGTATCCCAGTCTCTTCAAATGGTCGTGAACGGTTGAATGATGGATTTTTAAGGTTTCTGCAATTTCCCGTGTGGTGTAATGTGGGTTTGCTCCTACCAATGCCTTTAATTCGTCACTATCCAACTCAGTAGGCCGCCCTGATCGAGGTGCGTCATGGATATCAAAATCCACATCTCGGAATTTTTTAAACCATCTCTGGCATTGCCGTTCTTGTAGTGCATGTTCTCCATAAACTTTTCTCAACTTTTCACACGCTTGTCTTGCGTTCTTGCCTTTGCGGAAGTAATACAGCAAAATGTGACGAAAATGCACAGTTTGGTCGTCCATCTTCAACGTCCTCTAAAATCGACGAGACTCAAATAAATCACTTAATTTTTTGGTGCAAATGAAGCTTGAAGTGTCAACTGTCAAACTACACAATCAACATACAAATGTCATTGACTCACGTACTTCCAACCATGCAATTGCATACTTTGTTGCATATACGTCATGACTTTTCCGACAACCCAATAGAATCAGCACATCCTGAGTTATTGTTACATTTTGAAATCTAGACTTCGACAGAATTCACAATTCAAAAATGTGTCCGCTCAAAATAAAACCATTATTTGGGCGTAGAGAATAAACTAACGCATGTTTTTAACATGCATCTTAATCCAAGGAACTTATGTAACATATTGGCAACGCTACAGATTGCCACGTCTGCGTTGCTAGGCAACGCGGTGATGAGCTTCGCTATCCAGCCAGTTTCTATCTCTTTCTAACATATGTGTCTATACACACATCTCTCTCGTACACATTGAACTCAAGCCGCTAGACAAATTTTGTTTTTGGTCCATTGTTTGCTCTTTCCCATTTATGAGAACTTGTTCATAAAAGGACACGGATACTAGTAAGTGCCACACAATTGTTATATGTAACGATGTTTGCTTCAGAAAATGGCGAATGCGCTTTCTAAATTGTGTACTGTAATAGCAGCTCCTTCACCGTTTTCGAAAACGTTCCATACGACTACTAGAACTGGGCCAAATGGTTCCGTTTAGTGATTCGATTCCAAGGCTTCAGTTCCGGTTTTGGAACAGATGCTTCCAAAACATACCATCAGTGTTAATGAGTGCAACAAAGGAACGACACCGCAGTAGGAACCGATTATTATATATTCCTGAAAATGAACCAGAATGTTTTTTGGATGTTATCTGACACGTAAATCCCGAAAAACCATGTCACTCAGTTCAGTTTGATGAAATTTTTATACAAGGGTTTTAGTCCAGTGTTTGCTCTTTTCCATTTATGAGATCTTGTTCATAAAAGGACACGGATACTAGTAACTGCCACACAATTGTTATATGTAACGATGTTTGCTTCAGAAAATGGCGAATGCGCTTTCTAAATTGTGTAATGTAATAGCAGCTCCTTCACCATTTTCGAAAACGTTCCATACGACTACTAGAACTGGGCCAAATGGTTCCGTTTAGTGATTCGATTCCAAGGCTTCAGTTCCGGTTTTGGAACAGATGCTTCCAAAACATACCATCAGTGTTAATGAACGCAACAAAGGAACGACACCGCAGTAGGAACCGATTATTTATATATTCCTGAAAAAGAACCAGAATGTTTTTTGGATGTTATCTGACACGTAAATCCCGAAAAACCATGTCACTCAGTTCAGTTTGATGAAATTTTTATACAAGGTTTTTAGTCCATTGTTTGCTCTTTTCCATTTATGAGATCTTGTTCATAAAAGGACACGGATACTAGTAACTGCCACAGAATTGTTATTTGTAACTGTTTGCTTCAAAAAAAAGGTGAATGCGCTTTCTAAATTGTTTGTAATAGCAGCTCCTTCACCATTTTCGAAAACGTTCCATACGACTCCTAGAACTGGGCCAAATGGTTCCGTTTAGTGATTCGATTCCAAGGCTTCAGTTCCGGTTTTGGAACAGGTTCTTCCAAAACATACCATCAGTGTTAATGAGTGCAACAAAGGAACGACACCGCAGTAGGAACCGATTATTATATATTACTGAAAAAGAACCAGAATGTTTTTTGGATGTTATCTGACACGTAAATCCCGAAAAACCATGTCACTCAGTTCAGTTTGATGAAATTTTTATACAAGGTTTTTAGTCCAGTGTTTGCTCTTTTCCATTTATGAGATCTTGTTCATAAAAGGACACGGAGACTAGTAACTGCCACAGCATTGTTATATGTAACTGTTTGCTTCAAAAAAAGGTGAATGCGCTTTCTAAATTGTTTGTACTAGCAGCTCCTTCACCATTTTCGAAAACGTTCCATACGACTACTCTAACTGGGCCAAATGGTTCCGTTTAGTGATTCGATTCCAAGGCTTCAGTTCCGGTTTTGGAACAGGTTCTTCCAAAACATACCATCAGTGTTAATGAGTGCAACAAAGGAACGACACCGCAGTAGGAACCGATTATTATATATTACTGAAAAAGAACCAGAATGTTTTTTGGATGTTATCTGACACGTAAATCCCGAAAAACCATGTCACTCAGTTCAGTTTGATGAAATTTTTATACAAGGTTTTTAGTCCATTGTTTGCTCTTTTCCATTTATGAGATCTTGTTCATAAAAGGACACGGATACTAGTAACTGCCACAGAATTGTTATATGTAACTGCTTGCTTTAAAAAAAAGGTGAATGCGCTTTCTAAATTGTTTGTAATAGCAGCTCCTTCACCATTTTCGAAAACGTTCCATACGACTACTAGAACTGGGCCAAATGGTTCCGTTTAGTGATTCGATTCCAAGGCTTCAGTTCCGGTTTTGGAACAGGTTCTTCCAAAACATACCATCAGTGTTAATGAGTGCAACAAAGGAACAACACCGCAGTAGGAACCGATTATTATATATTACTGAAGAAGAACCAGAATGTTTTTTGGATGTTATCTGACACGTAAATCCCGAAAAACCATGTAACTCAGTTCAGTTTGATGAAATTTTTATACAAGGTTTTTAGTCCATTGTTTGCTCTTTTCCATTTATGAGATCTTGTTCATAAAAGGACACGGATACTAGTAACTGCCACAGAATTGTTATATGTAACTGTTTGCTTTCTAAATTGTTTGTAATAGCAGCTCCTTCACCATTTTCGAAAACTTTCCATACGACTACTATTCTCTAGGCGCTGAAGAAAGAAACTAAACCCAAACAAATACACGCATATTGCTCGTGAGTGAGTGTTTAGGCGCAGGAGACATTACAGGACCGCATCAAGATATTATGGGTAGTCATCAAA